AAAAAAATACAAAAGTTCTTTAGCTGCAAAGCCAGCAGCTCATGAAAGTTAATGTTTGAAGCTGGTAAATGAAAAATTGCTACTTGCTACTAACATGACCCTTCGGTAGAAATATGTACTCATATTATTCATACAAGCATCTTACTTACTTAGTTACCGAGTAACTATCAAGAGATGAACTAAGTCTGAAGTAGCATTCTAAGCTGATTAAGGCAAATATTAAAGACGAAGTTAAAGCTCAGATTTGACTTTTCTGTTGCCATATTTCGATTACGACTATGTATGTACATTAGGCCGGGTTGACCTAAATACACATGAAAAAAATTTTCTTATTCCCGATAGATAGATGGCTACTTTGAGATGACTCTGATTCTATAAAGCTTTTCGTCCTTACTGAGTCCACTACCATAACTATTTCCTTTAATATTATTATTACGAATCTAACCATAACCATAACCGTAACCACGACCGGAACCGTAACCATAGCCATGACCATAACTATAACCACAACCATAATTATAACCATAATCGGAACCGTAACCGTAATCAGAACCATAACCATATCCATAACCACAACCATAATCATAACCATAACCATAATCATAACCATAACCATAATCATAACCGTTAGCATTTCCATTTCCATTACCATTACTTTTACCATTACCATTTTCTCTACCATTACCATTAACATTAACATTACCATTAGTATAATCATTATCATTACCACTACCACTAACATTACTATTACCATTACTATACCTTTACCAGTATCACTACTATTGTCATTACCATTACCATTATCATTGTATTAGCATTACGATTACCATTGCCATTAAAATAACCGTTACCATTAAAATTAGTATTACCAGTACCAATACCATTACCGCTATCATTGCCATTAGCATTAAGATTACCATTACCACTACAATCATCATTACCATTATCATTACCGTTATTACTACTATTGCTACTCTTCTTCTCCTTCTGATTTGGCCTATAGTCGTGCGTCGGTTTGGGTCGAGACCAAAAAACTCTACCAATTTCCTCTCTCTTTTGAGGATTTGCGCCAGCTGTTCATCACGAGTCCAGATAGGTTCTTCTGGACTTGGCCCTACCATTTTATTGGGGGGTGCTTTCATTATCCAATGCTGCAGAAAATTCTTGATATCTGGCAGCACGGACTACATGGCACCTAGCTTTTAGTAGGAGCAGGGCCGTCGCGAGAAATCTCAGGTCCGGCTTGAAAAAGCACGATTGTATTTATTTAAAGGCATGCGATCATTTTCTTTAATATATAGACTCAGAAATAGTCAGCACGAATCGGAATATATTTATAATAACAGCCTATAAAGAAGGAGCAAAGGCATTGTAAAAAAATGATAACAAACTTTAGTTCTGATATTTCAGGCCGCCTAAAAAGCCCGAGACCGTGTGAGAAGGTTTCGCACAACGACTGAGGAGGAGGGATGGCGCAAGGGAATGAAACCTAGCCGTATATCCCTAAACATTTTCACGGACGGCTCTAAAATGGCAACGGGAGTGGGTGCTGGGATTTACTGCCGGGAACTGAACCTCAGGCGGGCAGTTAGATTACCTAACCATTGCAGCATATCTCAGCAGCAGAGCTAGCCTACACCGAAACGACAATCAAGTCAAAAGTATAACTATACGCAGATAGTCAGGCGGCAATTAAGGCAGTTACATAACATTTCATCCATAAACGTCCTTCGCAGCCGGGAAGCCACTGGCAGGCTAGCCGCCGACAGAAGGCTGCATATCTATTGGGTGCCCGGCCACAAGGGAATAGAGGGTAGTTAAATATCAGATGATACTGCCAAGAACGCCACCAGTCTGACTCTCTACCAGACAAACTACATTCGTACACCACTTCAACACTTGTACAACGAAATAGAGGATAATATGATTAGGCAGTTCAGGGCTAGATGGAATAAGTTAACCACTTGTAAAACTGCAAAAATTATGTGCGAAAGAAGCAACTAGAGTTATTACCGGATTTCTTACGGGGCAATGCGTGGACAGGTGCACGAAGTGAGCGAGAGAACAGTAAACCTTGAAGCATCTCCTCTACCAATGTCCTGCACTATCAAAACACGACTAAAATTCTTGGGAGCACACCAATTCGGGAAGTTAGAAGACATCTCAAAAGCAGAGCTGAAATTTCTACTTAAATTCGCAAAAAGCGTTGACATCCCTGTGATGTCTACTTTAGCGCGAGAAACGAGCTCCAACTAGCAACGCTAAGGACTTACTGGTCTATGGGCGGTTCAACGCCAGCCAGATTAACCTAACCTAACCTTTCATTATCCATCTATGGCTGCCGAGTCGAAGAATCTTTTCACTGGAGCCTCGTCATCAATGCGCACAATATGCCCAAGCCAGCGCAATCCTGGTGCCTGTGTCAGAGCAGATCTTCGCTGCCCGCTTAGAACAGGTCATTGGCTCGAAGTTGTTATTTTTGGGCCAAATTATTTCTAATCTCACCTCGAATTGGGAAGTGAGCTTCGTCCCTGTATATTGGTCTAGGTCCTTTTAACCAAACTTGACACTAGCTTCGCAATTCAAAACCGTTGATAAGTGCTTCATATACGTATATCTCAAAAGTACTCTGGACGCCCGAAAATAGGTTTCTACTCCTTTTTAATTGAATTTACGAGTTGCATTCCTATCTGTCCCGGTATGCCTCAATAGTCGTTTTCGTCGGAATTGACTCCCGGATGCATATTTCTCCGCAGCAGCGACTCGGTAACCAAACACTTCTTCAACTGCAGCATGAATTGATTTGGAGAGAGAGTACCACTGCTCATTTACATGTATCTAGACTATGTATGAGGGGATGCTTTTTCAAGGACTATTGAGAGCCGATGATGAAATTGCATGGCTTTCGGCTGTGACTGCCGCTTTCCGATCAATTCTCCTTGCACAGAGATGCACGCCGACCTTGACTGTAACAATAGAGTGAACTGAGGCGATGCTTACTCCTCGGATAAAACACAAGTCAAGTACGCTCATCTTCCGTTCATCCAGCGGTATGACCAAATATGCCTTCTTTCACAGTGTCGCTAAACTCTCCTCCATCCTGTAATGCGACAATTAACTTTTTACTTGGCTAGGCCCAGGCCCAGCGCACAACCCATTGCCAGAAGGGTTGGAAAATAAACGCATATGGATATCCGCTTATTAGAAGACAAACCCACTGGTGAACAGAAGCTACTGACTTCAGTGAGCCCTTAAATCCAAATGTGTGGGAGTGACCCCCAAAGCCACGCTTCTGCCGTAAACAAAAGCTCTATATCAATTGGTTACCGTGTCTCGCACATGGGGTAGTCATCTTGCCGAGAGTGCGTGAACGGGGACACAATATTCGGGATTGATTTAAGAAGTACGAAGACAAATAGGAATGGTATATACGGCCATACTCTGGTATAAAAATATGGGAGTCCACAATAAAGTTTCGCAAGCGCGAATAGACTCCGAAAACTCATAAGGAATATAAAATATTTGAGACCTTAGATATTTAAAACTTATGCCCGCCTAAACAGCCAAGTGTCAGTGCTTAGATAATGCCATATCATTATCTTCCATACAGTTCCTACTGAAAGAATTTGTGCTTCCTGAGCTGACTATATACGCATCTGTCCAGAAGCTAATCGCACGTATCTAATCTGCTGCTACCGCCATGGTGGCTACCATTGCTTGGAAATCAGTGCAGTTATTCGGGCATCTAAATTTGAATTTTGAATGAGTCTGCCCTCACCGAATATAGATGGTTGAGGATCCAGTCAACTCAACATCTGGGCTTGGTTAAGACCACAATGAACTAAGAGCTTTAAAGGATTTCGGAGTATCGGCATTTGCTCATCAGGTCAGTTAAAAGCTCTCAGTGCACGCAAGATGCAAGCTTTAAAGCTCTAAACCAGAAATGTCAAGGATATCGACTGACCTTGACTCGATTTTGATAAACACTCTTCCAATTCGTACAAATTTTGCAATACTTTTAAGTCACATCTTCTCGTTTGATAAGTTAACGGTCATACGAAAGTTTCCACCATACCAAAGCTACAATGCCAAGTGAGCTTACACTGAAGGTGATTAAAAATCTTGGAGTTCTTCGTAATGGACTTTGGCGCAAAACAATAATTCAAATGCCTTTGTAATTGTTAAAAAGTTGGCCCAAACTTTTTATTGCTTTCTTTGTGAAAGTTTATTGCAAAAATTGTAAGGTTAACTGGACAATTATTTATGCAAAACGGAACAGCAGTTCAAGGGTGAAACGGAGTATATTTATTTGAGTAGGGTATTTACGTAAAAGTCAAGGTTCAACTGCTAATTAAAATGTGAAATAATTAATGACACTTGCAAAAGAAATTTTGTATAAAATTAAAAGCTAAATAAAAGCGTAATGCGAGTGCTTTAAATGTGACGAAAATTATGAGTTGGAAAACTTGTATAATAACTACGAGTACATATTGTAGAATGCTAATATGCCGCACAGTGCATCGCTTCCATATAAAATGTGGACAAAAATAAAATTATGGATGGATTTAAACAAAAACTTATTTGTTTGTAGTAAAGTCGGGGATGCTGAACCCAAAAAGGGAAGGGTTTTTTGCTAACTTTCACTGCTATTTAATACAGTTTGAAGTTAAAAAATTGTGTTCTTGTGCTGTTTAGGTATATCTATGTAGATTTTCAAAAAGGAGGCGTCAACTTAAAACGCTTGGCCTGTAAATACGCAGTAAGGACATATTTTTGGAAAAGGTTGCCAACTGCCTAATAAGTTAAATTAATTACACTGGTCTACAAATTTCAACTTTTTTTCTGCGAATAAGACGGGACCTGGTGTTTCTGAACGGATTTTTCGTGCTGAACACGAATCCGGGGTCAAAAATGTCCCATCACGTCACGTTTTCGAGAAAAAAGGGGTTGAAACCCCTAAAAACAGCGTTTTTGGCCATTTTCGAAAAATTATAGAGCTGAACCCTGACGTGGTACAAATTTTGCATATATCAGAAATTAAAGGCTAAACCGTGCCCTTTCGAATGAGCCCTATGCCGAATTGATCGCGTGCACCCTTAAAGCAGGGGGTGTATTTGTGTTTAGGGGTGCAGGAAAAATTGATCACAGAAAGAATTTAATCTTAAACGATCATAGAAAATTAATAATGCCAAGGTTTTAACTATATTAAAAGTCGCTGATTACGAATCTGCAGTTAGATTTTAAAAATTTAAGATGACGGGTCGAATATGGTGGATATAAAAAATAAACTGAAATTCGCTAAATAAAAATTTTTAAGTCCGCCATATTGGATCCGCCATTTTGAATTTTTAAAATCTAACTTCAGATTCGTAATCAGCGACTCTTAATGTAGTTAAGACCTTAGCATCATTCATTTTATATGGTCGTTTAAGATGAAATTCTTTCTGCGATCAATTTTCCCTGGACTCCTAGACACAAATACACCCCCTGATCTAAGGGTGCATGCGATTAATTCGGCATAGGGCTCATTCGAAAGGGCACGATTTAGCCTTTAATTTCTGACATATACAAAGTTTGTAGCTCGTCAGGGTTCAGCTCTACAATTTTTCAAAAATGGCCAAAAACGCTGTTTTTAGGGGTTTCAACCCCTTTTTTCTCGAAAACGTGACGTGATGGGAAGTTTTGGACCCCAGATTCGTGTTCAGCACGAAAAATCCGTTCGGAAACACCAGGTCCCGTCTTATTCGCAAAACCCTTGTAGACCAGTGTTATCTACACACATAATATCACTTGAAACTCACATTAAATATTGATAAGAATTTTACATTAATTTGCACACATTGAAAGTAATACAACATTTAGGATGAATTATTCAAGTATTCTTATTTATATTTTAATTTTAGTACGGCTGCATATGTGTTCTTCGTGTTGTCGACGTCTTCCTTAAAGTTGATTGCGTTGTCCAATTGTTGTTGTATTCGTAGGCTCTCCAGTGTCATTCTCCTTCTTTCTCCTCTTTCGATGTCCAAAATTTCTGTGTTGCCGAAGTCCGCTATATGTTCGTGCGTTGTTAAGTGTTGAGCCAGTGCTGTTGTCATCTTTTTGTTTCTCGCGTCCGCTCTGTGTTCATTGATTCTTATACCCAACGCTCTTTTTGTTGTGCCTACGTAGCATTTATTGCAGCTTTCGTTATCATTGCC